TATATATTAGTTATATATATATATATATATATATATATATATATATGTATAATATATATTTTATTACAGCATTTAGCGAGATGCACCATCAGGATTGATATGTATAGTAGGTGCGATGGTTTGATAAGTAAGGTTTTGTTCATTTGTAGATTGCCCAAGATCTAGAGCAGAGAGCGCTAAAGATGAAGATGAAGATGAAGATGAACGCTTACAAGACGGCCGCTGCCGAGTCGGGAATGGGATCTGACTCCGGCAGCACCTCCTATTCACGGGACCGCCGCCTGCGCAAGGAAATGTCTCCGGACAATGAGTCGTTACAGTCGGCTGACAGCGACGGCTCCGAAACGAGCAAAGTCAGCATCACTAGCGCCCTCTCTACGCAGTCTGAGCGGCCGCGCGGAAACCGTAAACTCAGGTTTGTAGCTCTGACTGTCCTGTAAATAATTTCACGACTTGAGAATAGATCATAATATTAATTATCATGTGAATTTTTAAGTGTGCGAGTCAAATGAAAAGTGGAGTACTGGACAAAACGTTGCATACTCCCTCAGAGTATGATAATACTCTGTAGGGGCACAAGTCAGCTTATAGCTGGGTACTATGGCCAGAGTGCGGTAATACTCTGGGGGTATGGGGGTGATTATGGAATGCAAGTAGTGCTCCTCCTAGAGTACAATAAGATTTGTGTTCTTGCATGTAGAAGTACTCTAAGTAGCATGATAAGTACTCTACTCTTCAGTTGGTAAGTACTTGGCAAAACGAAGTTACCAACACTGTTGAACTGAGTGTTACCAACACTGTTGAACTGAGTGTTACCAACACTGTTGAACTGAGTGTTACCAACACTGTTGAACTGATTGTTACCAACACTGTTGAACTGAGTGTTACCAACACTGTTGAACTGAGTGTTACCAACACTGTTGAACTGAGTGTTACCAACACTGTTGAACTGAGTGTTACCAACACTGTTGAACTGAGTGTTACCAACACTGTTGAACTGAGCGTTACCAACACGTACTGTTGAACTGAATGTTACCAACAATATAACTCGAGTGACTCCACTCGAAGCTTGACTCCCATCTCATACGATAAATCCATGTTTCTGCCCCCTCCCCCATTCCTCAGCGAATTCAGCACAGATATGCAGCCTCCTCACTGAAGTGATATTGTTTGCATGTAGATGAACGATGTAAGACAGATTGACAAGGATTGATGAGATTTTATTATGAGCAAGTTTGTTACTGCTGAGCTGACATAGCCATCTTGGGAGAGAGAGAGAGAGAGAGAGAGAGAGAGAGAGAGAGAGAGAGAGAGCAGAGAGAGAGAGAGA